TCCCATCGAAGTCTTCCAGGTCAACTCGCAATATGACGTCATCAGTGGCTGTCAGATGGTGGAGATTGTCGTTTCCGAGCCAGAACTCGCCTTTCAGATCTCCAAAGCCATTTTTGTAGGATTCCCAATCAAGATAGAAGTCAACAGAGCCGTCTAAACGTCGCTGAAAAACTGTCCAACCTCCACCGTCCGTGGTCATGTCACACAACACTTGTATTGGTTTGCCGCCATCTAGACTAATTGAGTACACGCCACTGGATGTGAAACCAATTTGGAGAAGTTTGGCACAGGTTTTGCGTTCTGTTAAAGCAAGAAGAAAATTATCTTATTTCCATATCCAAAAATTGTATTCCTGTATGTCAAATGTTTTTACGTACTGCAAGGCGTTCCCATGAATCCATCTTTGCACTTGCATTGCACGGTGTCATCTTGATAGTTGGGGATGCAGATTTCTTTGTCACCACAAGGAGAACTGTCCTTCTCACAGGCACTCTGTGTGAAATAATTATTGATGTTTTAGTCTTCCTTCAATCGATGTTATCATTATCCTTTCAGAAAACTGGATCTTCAGCTATGTCCTGACTGCTAGGTCCAATTGAAATTTAGAAGAGTTGGTTTTTGCGGAGGGAGTAAAAGCAAAGAACCCAGAAGTAACCCACTGAGCAAGGCGAGAACAAACTGAGCAAACTCAATCCACTTGTCGGATTCGAATCCACTGCGCGATCCTCGCTTACCCGTTTAAGTGAAATGAAGCCATATCTCTTAAAGTGTTTGATATTGTTTAATGTGCATTTCATTTTGTTCGATTCATCTTGAAAGTTTGAAGTTTTTATGAAGAAATTTATGGTCTTAGCAATCATGAAAGACCATGCATTCATTCTTGTTAAATTTACAATATTATTTGAATTTTAACTTTACCTGGCGTCCTTTATAAATGAAGTCTTTATCTTTGGCGAAGTTTGCAAAACCAACGAATCGATCCGAGTCGCTCAGTTGACACACGAATCTTTCAGCGTTTTTCTTTGCAGTATTTGTGCCATTGGTGGGTCCAAAGTTGTAAGACTGGCACGTCTCTTCACTGACACACGCAACCTGACATGAACGTTCCGTATCCACTTCTATTTCCTTGATTACGCTTCCATTGAGCTTGTATCCCGCTATCGCTTTTGCGAAGTTGACAGCTTTCAAATCTGGCTGTGAAATACGGCTAATACCGTACACAGTCGTGCAGACAAGGGTTAGCATCCAGAGATACATGTTCTTTCGTCACAGGAAGGTTTGATAAAGTGTGATGAAAGTGTAAATGTTTTAATGAAAATGGAATGAGTGCGTAAACAGGTTACTAAGAGGTAGCAGGTGCTGGAAAGTGTTTCATCAAAACAACTTAAGAACACGGAACTTTTAAAATGTGAACTTGTGTTACGTTACAAATGGTAGCTATTCTTGCCTTGCAGGGATTGCTTTCGTCCTGGTTGTAAGATGCGTATTTCCTCATTTGGCAATGTTTAATATAGTCAAGCGCAATGAAAGAAATGTTGAATATTTTTCTATTTTTAATTGTCGAGCTAACGAAAGCTTGAGCGAATTTTCCCTTATTTAACTTAGAAGGCTCACTAATTAAACACTGTCAATACTACGCCTTGCATTATTGACAGATAGAGTAGGAAAACGTTTCATAATTAAAATTAAAAGTCTTCTCATGTTACGCAGCAGAGCTTGGTGTATGTTTTGCCTTTTCTCTTACTCTCATGGCTGTAAAAGTGAATGGCCTTTTTATAGTAGAGGACGTATTATCCGTACAGAAGGATAATGCCTCCTCTCCGTTTTTATACTAAAGACTCATCAACCGTCTGGGCGAACTTGGACAAACATTTGAAGTTCGTCTGGTTATGCGTCTTTAGTTTAAGACAGGCACAAAACAAGACGTATTATGGGTTTAGACGAGCTATCCTTCGAAATGCGTCTTGAGCGACGCAATACGAGAGATAGTTCGTCTAGACGCATAATACGTCTTGTGCCCGTCTTTATACTAGAGACGCGCACATAACCAGAAGAACTACAAATGTTTGGACCGACATCGAACTTGTTATTGTTGTGAAAAGTCGTATTCCCAGAGTGAGCCTAGTTAGAGCACGGAATTTATCTAATATCAACAATGCACTGCAACTATAACCAGCTTACCACAAAAAGGTAGCGGTGTCTTATTTCGAGGGAGTTATGTGCTGCTTCTATTAATGACGGCATCTTTATAAAATGTTCTTATTTCTTCTCTTCAAAAGAAAAGTTATAAGTTTTCACGCCTTTAATACCAGGATTAAAACTTAAAAAAGCCAAATTTTGAAACTTTCAAAAGAATGAAGTTAAATGGAACAATAACGGACTTGTTTTTTTATGCTTGTGAAGAATTAAAGGTGGTAGTCACATTTAATAAGGGTGTAATACTTTCAGTTTGTTATCCTTTGAAACTGGCCAACTGTAAATTATCAATATGAATTTCTATTACCTTTATATTTAGTAGACCGTTTTGTCCCTAGGTGTATACTTTTAGACAACGCTCATCTTTTTAAACATCGATATGAGTTTGATCTATGATATACTGTCGACAGCTATATTATTATTATCATCATTATTATTATCACAGTTTCGGTCCAGCTGAGGTATTTTACCTTAGTGGTAAACAATACTCTTTCCTTGGATCACTGCAATTTTGCTTTTTTAAGTGATATATCAGACACAAAAGACCGTGTTTGAGCAGGTCTCCAAACACCGAGAAGAGCGTTGAAAATAAGACGCCAGCGGAGTCAAATACTGTCAAATAGGAGCAGTATTTTTCTGGTACAAAAGGAAATAAGGATTTGGATCATTTTTAATCGAAAGCTAACAAAACTTAACAATTATAAATCATCACGAAAACCGTAGTTAATCATCGTTGCAATGTTATTTCTTTATACCATGCGTGCAAGAATGAAACAAAATGTTGTTTTCCTCCTTAACGATAAGCAGCAGGTATCCACAAGCTTCCTTTAATTGTTTTTCATGACTATGCACTTTGTGTGCACCTGCTTATGTACTGTCTCCTCAAAAATAACACGCGTCCGATGCGTATACACGAAAGGGTTTCTCCGCGCTTCACGTCACCACAACATGAGCCTGGTGTGTGAAAATTTCAGTTCTTACAGTGCCTCAGTCTACCCATATTAAGAAATAGCTACCAGGGAATTAAATGCTGGCAGGAGCTCGTGACCCACTGGTTCCTGATTCTGGGGATAACACTTCAATGGACTATTATCCCATCAAGGGGTGGGGTGGGGTGGGAGGGGGGATAGCAGTAATGCTATGGCCCGTTCACACCAGCTAAACTAATTTAACTAAAAAACACCTGAACTTAGTCTAGAACTCAGAACTTCATGGCGTTTTTCCGGTTTGTCGATTATCTTTTGCAGTCATTTTGAGAAGATAAAATTTGAAACAACTGCTGCTATTGGGATAATTGTTCTCGATCTTGTTGGAATGTTGGATGACCGTAGGTCCAGAGATTCATGATTTGGTTTTAACCTTCATCGCAGTGTTTTTTAGAGAATAGTTGATACCTCTAAACGCACGCCAATTGACGCCATCGGCATGAGAAGAATGTGGTCCTTTCAGATATAAACCGTTAAGATTGGAGCTATGACAACCACTGTACCACCAGGCTCCTTTAAAATTTTGTGCGCAGCTGTCATTAGCTTGGTCATTGTCTTTATCTTTCGTAGAAAACTGCATACCACTAAAAGAAAGTAACGATTAAAAACTTGCTTTGAAGTTCTGCGTCATGAAGCAGGGACCTCAGTTTTAAGCGTTGCATCGTGCGCACTGCAATGCAGTGCTCTTGCAAACTGTTCACGCTACAAATTAGAAATGAACCAATGTCCACTTCGTCTGCAGCAGCTTGCGTACTGTCCCTGTAACTTGCGTCCTATGTGTCCATACGAAGGAGCTTGTCCCTTCTTATCGTCCCCCCCCCTTTTCATCTTCCCAGAGTGTGTGCCAACACGCACCTTAAGGAATCAAATGTTAAACCCTTAGCAAACCCTTAATCCAACGATAAAACTAAGCTCAATGTTAGCAGCCAGAGTCGTCAGGTGAGTCACCTATTGTCTTTCTGACTTGGTTGCTCTCATTAGCGAGTCGTGTGCCGACGGTGTCTCTCCTTATGTCATAGAGTTACTTACTTATTTACCAGTTGTGCACATTATAATAGGTAAACATTTCTTTTGTAAACCTATTTCTATTACGTCATCATATCACCAATTCTATTCTCACACAGAATTAAAAAAAAGGAAAAAAAATTCACCCAAATGTTAATAAATAAATGTTACCAAATTAACCCTTCGCTTTTTTTATCACGGTCATCAAATCACTTACATGCACTTACTTACTAGCCGTGTATATTATAATGTATAATGTAAACAGATGTTAAACTAGTGTCTTCGAATAACTAGCAGAATACTAATATGACTGTTTTTAAAAAACGATGCATTAACTGCTCAATTATTATTTCTGTTACCTGTGGTATGTCATAGATTCACCCGCCGTGCCACTGTATCCTCCAATCAAAAGTCGGTACTTGTCTGCCTCGTTTGC